ATCACATAGAGACAAGTTTTATGCAAAAATAAAAATATGATATATCATTCAATTAATGGATTGAATACTTACATCAAAGGTCTGAGTAAACCTTTAAAATTTTCCTCTAAAGTGAATGTTCTCACTTATTGTAGATCCCTTAGCAAGATGCCTTCTCCTTGGATCTCCATCTTCTTGGTAATTATTTTGCCTTTAGGAATCACTCATAAGCCTCCATGAATTACCTCGGAAAACTAGGTTTGTGGGAGCCTCCATTAGATGAGAACATAAACCCTAATTTTCTAGAGAGAGAAAAAATATTCCTTTTTCCTTCTCATAAAAATCACCCCCTAAAATATACATAGACCATGTATATTTATAGGCAACATAAAAATAAAGAAAAGGAAACAACAAATCCTTCTCCATCTCTAATTCATATGTCTCAAATCTAATATGATTCCAATATCAAGTTGGGCTATGAGTGAGAATCCATTGGGCCTATTATTTTATTGGCTACAATGAATTAATAATTGGCCCGGTCCATGGACCCAATTCAATTAATTCATAAATTAATTTCTACTCCACTAAAAGAAATTAATTGAACTCCAATTAAATAATAAATAACCTCTAAGTCAATATTGCACTTTGACCCCTTTATGTATAATTAGTTATCGGATAAATAAAGCCATCAATCCGACTACTTAATTAATATATCTATTTTGGTATCTTTGATTATTTCTGGCTTGATCACAATAAAACATTTGTTTGACAAAAATAATAATTTAAATAAATAAATATATAATAAACCATTTTGTCTAAAAATACACGAAGGCCTTCGAATTTACTTTGTGATCAACCATAATCAATACAAAATAAATACAAGTAGCAATGATGCAAATATTGAAAATATAACCCTCTAACTATTAATTATATAACTACCCAAAGTGTCGGTCTAAGGATCCCGAAGAATCCGCCGAATAAATCAAAGTAATTATTAATTAATAAAAGAGTCTATAATTTTCTCATACTTAAGAGTCAAATGCCATGACGGTGATAGGGAGCAATTGCATACGACGGCTCTCGCAATATATTTCAACCTAACGCGGATCCAGTTCAAATCTTAATTACTTATGAGTCCATCCATAATTACCGACTATGAACCATTTATGATTACTATTTATATATCATGCATTGATTGCCATCACAAACATATATATAAATATCTCTTGTAATCAAATGGACACTATCAATTCTATAATGAATCGAAATATAATACATTGAATTCACCAATTGTATAAAATATAAATATTTCATAAACGTCAGGAACATATGTCACTTTAATCCAAACAGGAATTTGCTATGCCAGAGCATATAAATCCCAACAGAGACAGCAATCAATCGAAGAGCCGTCGTCAATCCGCCACAACATACCTCTTTTAATGACCTCCTTAGCTGAGAGAATACTTTTCCATGCCCACGAGGCATTGGATTTATAAGGCGCATCCACAAAAGCAAAGCCCTTAAAGTATTTCTGCTTGAAAGAATTAACCAGTAAGGATCCATCCCCCTTTTCCATTTGCCACGCCATCTTAGCGAGAAGAGCAAGGTTAAAAGCCTCCACATCCTTGAAGCCAATACCCCCCTTAGCTTTAGATTTGCATAAGGTATCCCAACTGAGCCATTTAATTTTATTAGACTTCTCTTCTCCGCTCCACCAAAAGTTGGTAAACATGCTAGTCAAAGTCTTGCAATTAGATTTTGGAATCGTGAAACATTGCATAGCATATGTTGGGAGTGCTGATAGTACCGCTTGAACATAACCTCTCTGCCGACTTTAGAAAGCAACTCCCCTTTTAGAGCTTTAGTTCTAGAAGAGACTGTCTTAAAGGAAGCTGAAAGCTGCAATTTTTGATTTACCAAGGAGAGACGGTAGCCCCAGATACTTATTCGACCGGTAAACATTGCGTATTCCCAGAGAGTGACAGAATTGGTCTTTTAACTGCGTCGGAGTATTAGGGGAAAAATAAAGACAAGACTTCTCCAAATTAATCAGTTGTCCAGTGAGAGCCTCATGTCTATCAAGAAGAAATTTCACCTTGATAACCTTTGGAACTGTAGCCTTGCAAAAGAGGAGAGCATCATATGCAAAAAGCAAGTGGGAAATAGGGAGGCAACCCCTACCCATCCTAAGGCAGTGAAGCTTCTTTCTTCGAGCTAAGTCTTGAAACAAGGAAGAAAGACCTTCAGTGCAGAACAAAAAAGGTATGGAGATAAAGGGTCTCCTTGCCGAAGGCCTCGAAAAGGAGTAAAACAGTCACCTCTCTCCCCATTAATTATCACGGAAAATGAAACGGTGCTCATACACTCCATCTTAAGATCAACCCATTGCTTGTCAAAACCCAAACGGCTCATAAAGTGACACAGAAAGGACCAATTGACTCGATCGTAAGCCTTGGCCATATACAACTTAAGCGCCATAAAACAAGAATCACCGTGCTTTTTTGATTTCAGAACATGAAGCAATTCATGAGCAATAACGATATTATCATGAATAAGACGGTCAGGAACGAAAGTAGTTTGGTTTTCACAAATGAACAATGAAAGAAAAGGTTTAAGGCGGTTTGCCCGGGCCTTAGAGTAAATCTTGTACACCACATTGCAAAGAGAAATTGGGCGAAAATTTGTCATAGAAGTGGTATGATGAACTTTTGGGATGAAAACCAAATTTGTGGAATTAAGACTATGTGGCAAAGATCCCCGTGAATGAAAAAGTTGAAACCTATAAGAAGGTCGGCTGAAGTGGATAGATGAAAACTATAATTAGGTTTATCTACTTCATTCCACGGATAAAAATTTCAGGACGCATAGAGTTTGAAGTTTGAAATTATTATTCTCAATTAAATCATAATTATACATCTCTTTAAATATGTAGGTAGAGTTTTAAGTTTGAGAATCATTATTCTCAATTAAATCATAATTCTACATCTCTTAAATATGTTTTAACAATAGAAGATGCGATTAATTACTATAGTAGATAAGATATTTTATTCCTTCCGCAAGGATGGACAGTGGACAATGATTGTGAGTACTTACTTAATTAAAATAAATAAATAAAATAAAATAAAACAAAAATTCTATGATATTGATGGGAAAGGCGCGCCCTTCTTTGATACGTCATATTTATTTTCTTTTATAATTCATTAATAATGGAGAGATTATTTTTGGAACATTGGCTTTAAGGTCCTGTTTGGCATGCATTTTATTTCTGCCGTATTTATTTTTGGGTTGTTACAGTGTTGATTTTGACAACAAAAGCATATTTGGTGCGGAAAATTAATGACACTTCAACAGAAAAACAAAAACACTATTAATCAAATTATATTTTATTTTTTTTATTTGGAATATTAGTGACACTATTTTTTGTCCTACGAAAATGTGACTCTCAACCATCGATTTTGAAAGGAGGGAAAATGCCACTAAGTTACGGTCTTCTATTACTCGATAAAACTTTTTGAGAGAGAAACTCGGACAATCCTCTAGATCACCATTACGTTGGTCTTTGCCCCTCTTGATTTCCTCTGCATATGTGGTATGTTTTTCGCTTGTAATCTTGTAAGTGCATCCATCATTCACAAAGAATGCAATAGGTAGTCCCAAAAAAAAAAAGAAAAAAAGAAAAAAAGAAAAAAAAAAGACAGCTTTCTTAGGGATGACAACGGGACGGAGTTGGGACAGGTTTGGCTAAATTTTAGTCCATCCTGTTAGAAAATTTATCATACCAACTCAGCCCCTACTCGGATTGGGTTATAATTGTTATACCATTTTCGCCCCTACTCCGGTAGACAAAATACCGATTTCGCCCCATATACTCCGTTTAATTGCAGGATGCGGCGGGGTGACCCGGGTTATGCCACTTTTATCATGTATGAAAAAAAAAAAAAAAAAAAAAACAAACTTGCCCAATGTGCTCAAATTGGGCTGATAAATAAGTTGACCTAACTTTTAAATTACTAAGTAGTGAATATTACTATATCAACAAACACTTACAGTAAAGTAATAAGAGTCTTAAAAATATAAAATATATATTTTATATGTATAAAAAAATTAAAAGGTACATATATAATCGGAGCGGGGTTGGGTCGGGGTCATCACTAAATCCGCTTCCACCCCAAACTCGTTTCGAATTTTTAATTATTTTACCATATTCATCCCAAACTCATATAGGAACCACTAAATTCACTCTGTTAGGAGCGAAGGCAGGACGAAAACTCGTGGGATCGGAGGAAATTGCCATCCGTGTGATAGTGCTTTCTTGTCCATGGAAAATAATCTTTGTACTTATCCAAATAGTAAAGCATGGAATCCTCGCTCAACCTGTATTTTTTGAAAATTTTGCAAATTCTATGTCAAAAATTCTAGAGCGAACTCACGATTTTGGTAATTTCATTATAGATGTTGGCACAGGCTATGAGCCAAGGACAACTCATTAATTTCAAATAAGTCAAAATTTTCCCTAAACATTTGTTAACTGAAAATATCCAATACTCAGATTGTTTCCCATCTATCATTATAGGCTAAAGAGTAGAAAAAAACCAAATCCCTAAATTATACCATTGTGTGTACGGAGTCAAAACTACCCGTACTACATGAAGTAAGGTCCTTAATGCTCATAACTTTCCTATTGGATTAAAAGTCTCTGGTTTCTAGATTTCAAGAAGTCAGCATCACCACTAGGTTGGTGGTCAAATTTGACGTCTAAAATGGAATAGGAAATTATATTATAATTAATTATCTAAATAGTGTGTTAAATTTTGGATGGACCCCATTGTTGTTGGTTTTAAATTATTTATTTGCAAGCCATGTGCGTAGAAATTCTTAGCAACCGGATTTGAAAATTCGCTTTCTCCACTCATGTATTTATAAGATAATTATGAAGATTAGGACCCCCAATCTATTGGGTCAATTACTGGAAATTTTCAATTGTAATAATAAGGCAAGCTTTAGGCTCACTCTATAAATACCAGCTTGAGTTCTCTCATTTCCCACACCCCAAAACCGCTCTACAAGCCAATCAATCCTTCACATTCTTCTTCTTCTTCCTTAAACCAATTTCGATATCATGGGTGTGATCAGTTATGATATGGAGGTTACCTCCTCAATCCCGGCTGCCAAGATGTTCAAGGCCTTTGTCCTTGATGCGGACAACCTCATTCCCAAGATCTTGCCACAAGCAATTAAGAGCGTTGAAATCATCCAAGGAGATGGTGGAGTTGGAACTGTCAAGGTCATCTCTTTTGGCGAAGGCAGCCAATTCAAGAGCGTCAAACACCAAGTTGACGGGCTTGACAAAGACAACTTTGTCTATAGTTATAGCATCATCGAAGGCGATGCTTTGATGGGTGTGCTTGAGAAAATCTCCTACGAAATCAAGATCGAAGCTTCCTCAGATGGAGGATCCGTATGCAAGAACAGTAGCAAATACCACACCAAAGGTGATGTTGGGATCACAGAGGACCAAATCAAGGGTGGCAAAGAAAAGGCCTTGGGAATGTTCAAAGCTGTTGAGGCCTACCTCTTGGCTAATCCGGATGCCTACAACTAAATACAGCCTTAATCTGTATACTGAAGTATATGGTTTCATGAGTGTGCCTTTGCATTATTACTTATACGTGTGCCTTTGCGTTATCTTTTTTTCGATGCCTTTACTTATACGTGTGAATAAAAGAATCTTGAACTGCGGGGAAAAAACTCCATTGAGGTTGTAATCATCCAGTTGTTTGTACTTTTTTTTATCTGATTGAAGTGTTCAGTTTCTTTTGAATTACAAATTTCCATGCTCCATTTAAAGGATATTTCTTTCTTTATTCAGCTACCAATTCATTTCCCATTCCGACACTATACAGACACCATTAGAGTCGGTAAAATGAGACCACGAATGGTGAAGTCGATATGATAGTAATAGATGGAAAACAATCTAATTAATTTATTTTCCATTTGAGTGGAAAAAAATTAACTAATTTGAAAATAATGGCTCGACCTTAATTACCTAACACACCTTTGTTTCATAATTAAAATGAACATACCAAAAAGTTAGTTCCCCTCTAGATTTTTTTTTGAGAGACTCGCAATATTTTGTTTCGGATAGAAGGTATTCTTTTTCGCCTTGGTGCATTAAACTAGAAGTTGCACGATACCCCCTCTCCTCTCTCTCTTTTTGGAGCAACATATAACCTATATTTATTAACTTGTTGCAACTTACCCTCTTTAGCTAATAGATAATTAATTGTAATGAAACAAAATTACATAAAGACCCATAATATATAAGAAAATTGAATTAATATATATATATATATATTAGGAAAAAAAAACCTATAACTAAACTACTTGAATAACAAAGCTAGTTGACACATATAAGTAAAGTAATAATGGAACTAATTTCTATATAGAATATATATAATATATATAATATATATATTGTTTTTCACGACAAGAATAATAATTTATTTCATAGAAAAATAAATTGATTACAAGCTTATCCCGTACCTGAATACCATCCAGCAAAACATTAGTAAAAGCAAACTCACCATGTAACCCCAAAGCCAACTGACCAACTGACCCACCTGATGGGCCAAGTCATTAGCTTCATGAGGAACAAAAGCTACTGAGAAGAATTGATGAATGAGAAGAATTGAAATCATATCTTCAACCACAATATATAAATGGGGAGGACAAGGACTTGACTTCATAATAGCTTTCACCACCACTTCTGCATCAGTTTAAAAAATAACTCTATGGAAACCCCATTGTAGCGCTTGAAAAAATAACTCTATGGAAACCCCATTGTAGCGCCTGAAGCAATCCCTTTCTTATTACCAAAGCCTCTACAAGAGAAGGATCCGAAACATACGGGAAAAGAAACCCAGCTCCTCTCAAAACAGAATCAGCATGATTACGAACCACAATACCTCCTCTGGTAGTGCAAGAGTTTGCAAACAAATGCATGCAAACAAACTCTGCAAATTATCCGAGGGATCTCGAATGAACCAATAGTGAATCTGTTCTCTCCACCATGCATCCCATTACCTATATGACACATTCCCGCAATCTATATATATCAAGTTTAGAAGCATTTCAAACTTGAATAGAATAAGGACATCAAGAAAACAACTGACTCACTGTCTCCGGCTCCAAACGACAAACCAAACAAGTCAGATTGGTGTCACTCTAGTCAATGCACCTAATTGCGTGCAAAATAAGAGTGTAGTGTGGCCAAGTTTAAATTTTGAGAATGCCACTACCACTTCTAACTATAAATATAGTTAGGGTGAGTAGGGATCGTCCCAAGGGAAAGGAGGAGTATTTGTACTTGGAGATCAATGTTGGATAAGTAGGTCGAGTGATCGAAGATGTTTTGGTTGGTTAATTAAACTACAATATAAAGTAAATAGATACAAAGTAAAGCAATTGAAGTAGAATGGAATGTAGAGAATATAAGAGAAAGGTCTTAGGACTTAGAGGTCACCACTAAACATTACCTTCCTAGACGCTCAATGTGTAATGATTGAGGGGGGGATTATGTGTTGTAATACAAGTGTGTGTCATTAATTGAATTAACAAGCATAGGAGACTAAATAAGTATACGTTGTCTAACCAAACTAATGAATAGCACAACATATCAAATTAAGCCATCATTCCTTCCTTTAAGTCTACAATCAATGAACATCATCAAATCAGAGAAATATACTACTTGCATTCATAAGTATGGAATATCAAACAAGTATGGATTGTCCACCTATCTAAGAAAGTAAGGCAACTACACTACAATTAAGCTAGTGAGATGTATATTAAACTAAGGGTGTGATACAATCCATCAAGAAATAAGTATGAACTATCAAATAAACATCAAGAGTATTCCATTTAAGCACCATGCCTTGACTATCACTAGATTCATAATATTAACACACATAGACATGCATCAATGTCACTAAACCTAGAGATAAACACATGAATATCTATTCTAGCATACATAGACATATGAATAGAATGAAATGATCAATTGAAAGTATTAAACTACACAAATCATTGTAGAAACAAGATTCATATACATATCAAATGTCAAGACAAGAACTACAACACAAAGTCTAGGAGGCATGCTTAGGGCTATCTCTAGCCTCAAGAGGATGGTTTAGCCACTCATTGATGTAGTCATCCAACCCTCAAGGGCTATCTCCATGGTAGAAATGATCTTCTTCTCCTTGATGAAAACCCTAGATGAGTGAAAGAACTCCCAAATAGTGTGTGTCTCTCTAATCTCTAGACTCCTCCAACCTCTCTTGTAATAGTTCCTTTCTAAAATTGTATCTAAAGTTATATATCATGTAAAATGCCCCAAAATCCTTATATAGGAGCTCCAAATGATTGCACCACAAACACACCTTTTAATTGGCTGGAACTCTGTTTTTCTCGCACTTGAGGAGATCGATCACAAGGATGGTTCGATCGATTGAACTATGGCGGCGCCTTTTTGGAATAATGACAAATCTAAGATATTTTTGGGATATTTTGGGAAAAGGACAAAAGTGGTAGGTTGGGATAAGATCGAAGGGGTTCGATCGATCAAAGAAAATGTTGGATCGATCGAAGAAGATATTTTGCTAGGGATAAGGACAAAAGGCTCGATCCATCTTGGTATGGTTGGAACGATCACTGTGTGATTGATCGGAGCTTGGTTCGATTGATCGAAGATGGCTGTTTCCCACCACTTTGCTTCCATTTTGCTCATTTCTTCCACTAAGCTTGAGATTGTATCTTTTATTCTCTAATTCAGCTGAATTGACTTACTTTGGGAATAAGTGCTTGAAAAGGGAAATAATATGAAATTAGACTAAAACGGCAAAATAAGATAGAATAAGGTCCTAGAATACTCAAATTTAAGGGGTTTAAATGCGCATTTTTCAGCGCTTATTCCACTCCCAAACTTAAATATTGCTACTCCCTAGCAATGAACTATAAAGGAAATAAAGAAATGAACAACTATACAACTATGAACTAGAAAGCAATAAATGGATAACGCCACTTTCGTAAGGAACACGATTGCATTTAGCACATGCAACAAGCCTTTTGAACCCCTAGGTTACTCCTAGTGGACGATTGAAGTCTCATGAGGGCTTCCAGAAATGATACCCATAAGCATTAAGCTCATTCTCACAAAAGAGGTACTAATATTTCAAACAAATATCGGGAGAAAACTACTTCAAGTATGCAATTTTTCAACCATTTCCAAGTAATCTCCCAAAATCTCAACATTAAACAAACAAATATGATCCTCCACGCATCAAGAAAATGATCATGCAAATCAAAACAATTATAGAATCCTTTTTAAGTGAACCAGCATCAAATATGTTACTGTTTAAGCCAACTAAAGAAATAATCACATTCTTACCCTCAAACTAGTACACAAATCTAGTACCGATCATCAAAACAAAGAGTGGACGTTTTATTAAAACTTTATTAATCTATGTGCGCTTATTCTTTTCACTCGATTTTTATTTTATTTTATTTATTTATTTATTTTTTTTTCTATCCCTAAGGATCAAAGATGGAAGCATAGTGCAATGTGTTAATCTATTAAGCTTTCTAGTGATCTATGAGGTTGAGCGTTAGATTAATGACTCCCAAACCGGACGACTTTAGGGCATTAGGTGTTTAAACACCCCTAAGGACTTACAAGCTCAAATCAATTAGGCTATAAAATTAAAACAACCTCCATCTAATCATTTCCCACTTCTCACCTTTTGGGAGAAGTTCTCACTTTTTTATTTACTTTTGCAACAACTTTTATTTATTTATTTATTAAGTTATTAACCTAAAGTTTGGGCCCTCCATCTTTCAGCGTGAGAAATTCAGTGCTTGATGAGGCTAATATCCCGGCTACTTAATGAAAAGGGTTTATTATCCACCTTTATCGAGAATGAAAGTTTTTAATGCACTACTAGCTCAATTGGGATATAACCAAATTAATAATCAATAAAGCATGTACCTTACAAATGAATGCTAGTGTGCGCCTGTGCTAGTATAGAATCCTATAGTGAATCTCAAAACAATCACAAAGTCAAGATGATATGGATCATAAGTGCAAGCAAGATATCAATCTTTCGAAAAATTTACTCCTAAATAGTATCCACAAGGCATACAAGGAGTATTGGACTCTTAAGTCAAGCAATTTTTAAATCCTAAGCAATACAGTCCTCAAAAGATCGAAATCATAGCTAGTTATGGACCAATCATAAAAATCCCTCAAATACACAAGTCATGCTTAAAATTTTGAATTGAATGCAAGCAAAGAACACACATTACCTTCAAACTTAAATGGCATAATGTCCTCAATGTGCAAAAAGAACAAAAGAAAGAGGAAAGAGTATACCAGTGCAGCTATCACTACAAGAATTGTGGGCTTTTACGATATAGTATTTACGGGGCTTCTTTAATTTGCCTCATGATTACCACCATTTACGGAGTTTTTAAAAGAAACCTCGTAATTGTTACGTTATAGGACATGCTTTCACGAGGATTCAGTAGAATCGTCATAGAAAAATATTTTTACGGTGTATTAAAGAGGTGGTGAATATTTAGATATATTTACGGCATATTTGTATACTTTTAACGGTATAAATGTTTCTCGTTGAAAATTTCACATTTAAGGCCTTTTTTTTTTTCCCGTAAATAAGCAATAACACTTGCCCACCAAATTGAATAGGCGCAATTAATAAAATTACTTAAAAAAATATAGTTGGAAAAATGAATTTAAGTTATTTTACAGTGTATTAAAGAGCCCGTGAATAAATTTTACA